CCCCGCGTCTCGGCAGCGGCCCCGCGCCCGTCCCGCCCCTCCCCGCCGGTACCGACCAGGGGCTTCGTTCCAACCCCCCCGGCCCCCGGGGCTCGGTCCAGATTTTGCTGTGCAGAAGCTTATAAAGGAAACGGAACGATTGAGATTAAACTTTTCGTTTCCTCCGCGTCTCAGCGTGCAGCCGGAAGGGAAGGGTGAAGGGCAGCGCGGCAGGGGCAACAGGTGTGGGGCAAAAGCTATTAATTTCTCGCTGCTCAGCTCTCCTGGTTCCTGAGCTTCAACTCTTGTAGCTGCCTCCCACGAATTGTTCAGAGCCTGAGAAAGACTGAATTTAGCAGCTAATGGTTTATCTACCCCCAGGTTCAGTGCTGAACGCCATCAGGTTAAAGATCAGACCCTTTGGCAATAGAGTGATAAAAAGCAGAAACGATCTCTGATTACTGGCCCTGGCACTGTAACTGTACAATTGCCATGTATAAAGGGAATGGGATCAAGGCAGCTCCCATGCAGGGGTCCTGCACACAATCCCAGCCACAGGCAGGTGCTCACAGCCTCCTCTCACTCCACACACCCCGCCAAGATCCCGTGGCAGCTTGAGGTCCCATTGCTACCCCTGGCTGGACTTGGGCAAGTCCCTGGCTCCAGAGCAGGGTCTTGGCAAAGAGCAGGAGAGGACAGGGTCTTGTCCCACTCAGACACCACATTCCCATGGCTCTCCAGCCGCACAGGACTTCAGTTATTGGTGTCCAGAGCATTCCATATGTTAGTGCCAACAAAAAAAAATAATTACTGTATGCCTTTGGGAAAGCCACTGGATTTTGTCATGCCTCAATTTTCCCCCTTTATAAAAGAGAGCTAAGTACTTTTTAACCTGTATAATAGCACCATAAAAATCCAGTGCTGTTTCCATTACCCTGATCTCTGAATATCCCTCCTGTTCTAACATGTTATCTGATTTCTGTTCCCTGATGGGCTCAACTGCTACTCCATCATCTTTCACGTATTGCTTAGAGAGAAGAAGAAAAAAAAAAAGTCTGTGATCAAATAAAGAAAGAAGCTTTTTGCAAACCTTTCCCTGGAACATTCTCCACTGTGTCTTAAGTGACACCAGGGAGCAACTGGCATCACCACAGCACCTGAATGGGGACAAATACAAACTGTCTGCAGAGCCCTGGGGCAGGCAGAGGTCTCACAGCTGATGGCCCAACATGCCATCAGTATTCATGCACATTCAATTTCACAATGAGGAAAAGGATTAGCAGCACTTCTGGACAAAGCAAAGGAGACTGCGAGTTTAAAATGGCTTTTCCGTGGCCACGCAGGAAGTCTGCAGTGAGAAAGAGGGTATGACCGGAGACTTGTGACCGTGGCTCACACTAGGAGCAGAGTGGGCCCACCCCCTCAGCAGTGGTGGAAGGGCACACTCTTCCGAGTTACAAATACGGAGTGAGCTTAATGCCTTTCCTCAGCATAACCTATCAGGAACTGGCCTAAAAGGTAAATTAAAAGTGAACTCCCTCTCAGCACCTGCATTGGATTTCTTTGCTTTTGACTTTGTTTCTCACAGACAGAGCATTACTTAAATCCAGTTATTTAAGCTTTGAAAAGAAAAAAAAAAAAAAAAAAAGAAGATGTATCTATTAATTAAAAAACACCACAAAACAAGTCTTTTGCTTTCCATAAGAGTCACTTGTGACATGCAGTCACAGAGGGTCTGTCCCTGGTGAGTGCCAGCAGCAGGCAGCAGCACTTCCATGCAGAAAATGGTTTCACCTGTTTTTTCAAGGTAGCCGATTTAGTACAGATTCCCAGCTAAACACACGGAGTCAGAGCAAACACAGGAGACAGACAATGCCTCCAAGCAGGAGGCCAAAAGAGGCAGCAAAGCTGACGAACACTGCAGGGACTGCTCAGAAGTGGGGCCAGTGGTAGCATGCTCCTGGTCAGCACCACAGATGTCACCTGCCCTGGACAGAAAGATCCCTGTATCCCCATAAAAACAGAAAAGCTTTTGAAGGAGGAGAGCAAAGAGACGCAGAAACTCCCGGGTTCAAACAAAGTTTTATGAGAGCTGGAGTGCACTCAGCCTGTAAAACAGCCCAGCGGCAGTGGCAGGACACCGCCTGATGTGCTGCCTGGGCAAAGGTATCTCATGATGGTGTGTAATCAGGAGGCGCTGCAAGTTTTATGAGAGGGATACTATTGTCAACAGGTGATTGAATAGCTTTTCACATAAGGAGCAAATGATGGACCTTGCTAGGGATCAGCAAGGGGAAAGACAGAGACAGCCATTTACTGTGACATGTTTCTTCCACAAAAGGCAAACTAATTGCACACGTCAAAAGGAAAAGGGAACGCATGGCTTTCGTCCGCTCCTGATAACCATCAGATAGGGCTCTTCCTGTCTTCTCCAGCAGCCCTTCCTCCAGCACAGCATACAGAGGAGGAGGAAAATACAGCTTTGAAGGTCAGGTAATGGCCTAATTAAAGAAGAATTCCAACTCCAACGCTGCAGCCCTGCCCTTTTAAAGCACAAGCACAGCACTGGGTCAGGCTGTCAGTTGTGGTTTAGCACACTGGTGCTGGTAGCACACCCCTAGTAATATGCTCTGTGACTTAATATGGGTTATTTGGCTTGTAGGTTTCTGAACAATTACAGCAGGTGCAAAGAGATATGTGTTAATTTTAAAGTTGGTTTTGCCCTGTGAAGGGCACCTAATCCCAATCCCTCTGAAGATGGGGAGAGTTTTCAAGAGGCTGTGAGAGCAAGTCTCCCCTTCAAAAAACAAACAGCAAAGTGGATGATCAGGGAGGGGGAGGTCAGCACAATGGCCTTTGCAGCAATGGTTGGGCGGAGTTTAAATCAGTTGCTTGCCCAGAGCCCTGAAAGACACGTGGTGATCCTGCAGGCATGGAAAGACCTGGGAGCATCACTCTCTACAGCAGATGTGATGCTACAGTGCCCAACTTCCACAGCCACAGGTTTATGGCACACCAGTATTTCTTTAGAAAGCAGGGGAAGGTAATACTCCTTTAGGCAGTGATACTACATGGCAAGGGCATAGGTGCTCTTGGGTATGTTTTTAGTTGAACATAAGCCTGAATGTACAGGAAAAAATTAAAGGGTTTTTGGCATTATCTCAGTCCAATATCCTTGTGCTTTCATTCTGAATGACTAGTGCTCATTATAGCAGGGGAAGATGCTTGATTTCTTTTTAAAATGAAGCAAAAATAACCTGTCTTCACCCTGTAAAACATGTTGGTCTGGAAACACAAGTGAGAAGGTTTTATATAATACAATGTTCTCTAAGTTACCCTGATGTTTCGCATTAGCTGCACACTTGACTGCAAGGCTATTTGAAGCATTCACTAGGCAGAACTCTGAAACACTGCTCTTCTCAGTGGCTACAGATGTCTAAATGGATCAAATTCCCGTATCTTCTCCTTGGTTTTTAAAGTGGTTAATATAGTGGACAAACAAAGAAGGTAGTTGTGACATCTGTTTTCTCTAATCACACAAAACCTCAGAAGCAAGAATCAAACTTACACGGAGAAAAGCAGGTGCAGTTGCTGCACTCTAACCCCCTAACCCTGCCAGCACAGACAGCTGTTCCTGTTCTGACCCCTTTCCAAATGAGTCAAAGGAGTTAGTTCCAGCTTTCAGAAAGTTGTGTGTTTCTTTATTTCCCACTTCAGGGGCTAGGATTCAGTTTGGACTCTCAGAGACCAAGATCTTGTACCCTGACATGGCTTCATCCAACAACAAGCTCAAGGAATTAATAACTCATGATCACTGCTGCAAATACAGTGCTCCCCAGACACCCACACCTGTTCTTTGACCCTCCCCAGTGCCTGAAACATGACAGGCAAGTAAAACAACTAAATTCTGTATTAAGACATAAATTACTATTTTATTATATCAAAATGTTAGAGGTCAGTACACACTTAATTGGGAGCATTAGTCATGCCATGAAAGAAAGTTATATGGGAAGAAGATTAGAGAAGACACACAGGAGCCCTTGCAGGGCTCAGGAGGTCTCAGCTGAATTCCTGGCTCCTCCAAAACATTCTTGCATAGCTTTAGGCAATTCACCTATACCAACATCCCTACTTTATTTGCAGCCACCACAGTCCTGGCTTCGGAGTGCAATTAAAAGCTCAAACTTACTGTTATCAATATGAATAAGCATCAAAACACCTCAGCAGGCATATTCACTAGGTAAAGGCTCCATTCCTCAAAATTGTTCCTGTTTGCTGCACGTGACAGCTGGCAGCAGTATTCTTGCTGCTGGCAGAAATGGGAATCCAGCTAGGCCATTCCTTCCTCTGCATGGGGCATTCCCTGACAAAGCACCAGTGGGCCTATGCCATAGCTGGGCGAGGGGTGAGCCTGCACACAGGCAGCCGGGAAGATCAGAAGCTACAGTTTCTCAGCACAGGTAAAGCCCACCTGTGTTTCAGACACCTCTGATACAGGATAATAGTACCAAATTTTCTAACAAAAACATTACAAAGGATAAGAGGTCTCTATTCAATACTATCTGGTAATAATCAGGTATTATGGCAGCCACATGCCAAAACTACTTCCCAACACAGGCTTCCTTTTGATCTGCAGCACTTCTGATTTATGTGCCAATGAAAATACTTCTGTGCAATACTACTAACACAGCTCTTACACCAAGTTATCTGGAAAGAACAAGCATCCATACTGCTCCCAAGTAGGAAAAGAAAGCTCTTACCTGATGGAGAGACTTTACGGGATAGATGATGATGACAGATGCTCAGAGATGAGTAGAAAGAAAAGTAGTGCAAGATTCAGAAATTCACCTCCTCCATCCACATTCATCTACTTGCTTTACATGTGCAGGGTGAAACATCGGTCTCTGATGAGTAACTGAGAGGAAGAAACTTGCTCTGTGTCATCTGACAGACTAGAAAATCA